AGATAGCCCTCGTGTAGCTTTGCGCGAAATTCCAAAACAAACAAACAAACAATAAAATACATCATAAGAACCACTAAAATGTTTAAATTTTCGCAAAATATGTTCAAAATCCTATTGCCTACTGAACGAAATTAGCCTAAGTTAAACCCTAAAAGTAATAAAATTGTTTAACTAACTATGAGAACCGTGATAGTTTCTTATTATATTTATAACCATATTATACTTCAATAACCATCAAGATGTTTCTACTAATGCATCTAGGTGACCCAGTGGCGAGTATGCGGCTTATAACGTTAAATATTTTGTTTCTATATCCGAGATGGAAGGAGCACAAATAGCCTATTGTGTAGCTATATTTTTAACAACAAACAAACAATTTTATACTAATATATACTTCCCAAAAATATTTGACTTTTGAATAAATATTAAAGCAAAAAGCTAAAATAATTTTCATATTTTTTCTTTAGTGAAATTAATGCGAGTGAATTTCAACTTAATGCATATTGTTGTAGGTAATATTTTTCTTAATTCAAAAAATTGCATTGTTGTTTCGCCAAAGAAAGTTTTGGTGTCATATAATCAGCGTGTAGGTTAATATCTGGAATTTTCTTGAGAACTTAGGAAATGTTTTGGCAGTATAAAAACGCGAATTAGGCTAGAGTAGATTGAGTTATAGAGTTTGTTAGTCAGTTTGTCTGTTATTGTGTAAGTCAATTACTCAGTTCTGTGCTGTAAATATTGAGTTTGTGTTTAAAGGAAGTACTAGAGGTGAATGGATGGAGTAATGAACAAAAAGCTATTCATCTTGATGTTCATTTAAAAGGCCCACCTTTAACAACATTAAGTAAACCTTCCCACAGAAAGTCATAACAACTGACAAGCATTAGTGGCCACGTAATGAAACACTTTTGGGGTGTCACATCAGGAGGAAGCTTTCTAAAATTTAGGATTAGCGTAAGTAAACGGGACAAGACCTTAATCAAAATTGCTGAAGATCTGCAAAGACTGACTTAAATGTCTTATTCAGATTCTCCAGATGAAATTATGGGTTTATTGGCATGTTCATAGATTTCATAGGAGGTGAGGATATGCAAGTTAGGCTAAAGAAGTATATTAACAGTTTTAAAGGAAGCTGTTCATTTGGCACTGGAACTTGAGTTAATCAAAGTTGCAGATAAAGATCAAAAGTACCATCCAGGAATTATAGGATCGTAAGATCAAATTGTGTGGAAGCATCAACTCTCTCTTATGGAAGTTTAAAAGAACTCAAAGGATTAATTCGATAACTAGTTACTAGGAATGGAAGAAGTCGGCCATAGGATATTAAGCGTTTCAACTTCAACGTCAAAGGACATATTGTCAGGACCTGTAGACAAAAGCTTCTGTGAAATATACGTTGCTCCCAAAAGAAGAAGGAAAAATCGAATGGCTATAAGTGTGAAAACATTGGCATAACAGCCAAGATTGTGACGAATCAACAATACCCTTAGGATGAGTCCAAGAGCCGAAACTGGTCCAAGGAACAACAACAAATTAACCAGACGTTAGTAGACAGTAATTCCTGGGTCAGTCTACCTCAGTTGGGATAAGGACATTGTTATTTAAATACAGCGCTATACAATATGTTGATTAACATTGGAACTACATCAATCATTGTTTGATCCAATCTGGTAATGAAAAGTGCTTCTCTACACAATGCAATGCGTGGGTAATTAGCATCGAGAAAGAGTATATATTGGGAATAAACTTCATGCGAAAACGTAGATGTGACTTTAGGCCAGGAACTACTTCCGAAAATTACAGTGTCGGAGGTTGATTTTCTAGTGAGAATAATGGGAGCAGTTATTACACCACCAAGAATTGAATTACTAGTCCAAGGACTCATTAGGAACAACTTTAAATCCAGTGACTGAAGAATGATAGAACCAAACTCTTCACATTGTGTGACCAGTGTTGTGAAGGTCGTCAACTTATTAATGCCACAGATTTTATGGCTTGTTCATAGAATTCCAATATCCATTATACAGCGGAAGACATTATTTAGGCCAGGCAATAAAATAAAATCTCATAATATTGATACTACAAACCCAATATGTCAGTTGGCCAAACGACTCCCAGTTGCAAAACATACTAATGCTCCCAAAGAAATAGAAGTCATGTAAAAACAAGTAGTAATAGAACTGAGTACTTGTGTTGGGATATCCCTCGTACTTTTGAAGAATAGGGAGGGGTCCACAAAGATGACCAGAAGGTGAATGAAGGATCCTTACCCATCGCTATGGAATAACTATTTTGGATGCTTTATCGAGGTCAAAATTATTTTCAGCATTGGATCTAGAGAATGGTTACAGGCAAGTGTAAGGCGAAAAAACAGCCTTTACTGCAGGTAATGAGTTATGACAATTTGTTGTGTTGCCCATTTAGATTATATGGTACACCTGTTACATTTGAATGACTCATGGAATGTGTTCTCTCTGGATGATCGCGATTGTAACACTCATGAACTTAGGTTAGATGAAATGATGGTTTTGTTGGAATGCAACCAGTTCATAAATGCCCTATGATGTAAAGATATGTAAGTTAGTCTAAAGCAAAGTAGATGTACATATTTAAAGGAAGCTCTCCAATTGGTAGTGGAACTTGGATAAATTAAATTTGTAGATGAACAACAAAAGCATCATCCAGGAATTACGGAAGCTTAGAAGAACTCAAATGGAAGAAGTCAACCACAGGATATTAGACGTAACTACTGCAACGTAAAAGGACATATTGTCAGGATCCTGTAGACAAAAACTCGTAAGAAATAAACATTGCTTCCATAGGGTGACAGAAAAATGGAATGACTATAAGTGTGAAAAACATATACATAACAGCCAAGATTGTGACCAATAAACATCTATGTAATTAAAAGAATAATGTGGGGGGGGGAAGCTTTATAAACTTGAATGAATTATGCAAAAATCAAATTAAGAGAAGGGAAGTACAAACGATATTACCATATGTATGTGGGAAGCTTTTTAAACTTCTTTAAATTATGCACAAATAAAAGTAGGGAAGGATTGAAGATGTCACCTTGTGCGTAAGGGAGGGGGTGGGTGTAGATAGTACGATGCATTGTGAAAGGAAAAGATATTGGGAGAATGAGTCTGTCATGACTGAGAGACCCACCTCGGAGAGTAGTGTTTATGGTGTGAAAGTTTTGTGTTTGAATTTCTTCATTTGTTTATCGATACTTAGAATATTCGTACCGTTACCCTGTTCAGTTTTAATACTTGCCACGATACCCAAGATCTGAAAACATCACTATACCTGGTGTCTTTTAGTAGGTAAGTAGTTCTGTTCATCATTTTTGATCACACCATTCGACTCAAAGTGTCTTATGTACTAGAGATGTTTAGTGGGTATCACGTGTTGTGGAATAGGTTTAACCTGTCAGGTCACCACTTGTACTTTTGAAGAAGATGGGCCCACTAAGTTTTATATGCACAACTAAAAGTTGAATGAAGGATGTCTACCATTTGCTAAAGAATATCTCTACTCTGGATGGTTTATCTGAGAAAAAATGTTTTTCATCTTTGGATCTGAAGAGTAGTCATAGGCATGTACAATTTGAAAAAAAGCCGTCGTTTTATTGTTCATCGTACACCTACTATATTTGAATGACTAATGGAATATGTTCTCTCTGGACTACCGTGGAATGTTATACTAATGAACTCTGATGATATAATAACATGGAAGATATCTTTGTTGGAACTTTTGATGTGCTAAGAAAAGTTGCAAATTGTTTGAGGAAAGAGGACCTTAAGCTGAATTCCAAGAAGTTTGAGTTTCCTGTGACACATATTCAACATTCAGTGGAGAGGGAGGGTGTATAGACTCAACCAAGTGCAGAATTGATTAACACCAGAACTCAAATGAGGTACGAAGGTTTCTTGCATTGTGCTCCTACAATCTCACTTTTTTAAAATCATTCTTTGAAATAGCTCGACTTCTACGCAAATTAATAGAAAAATCAAATAAGTTCTGCTAAATTTCTGACTACAGACAAATATTCAACAAGCTGAAGAAAGGGGTAACCATTTTTTCGGTACTAGCATACTAAGCCCTCGAAGACCCATTCATAATAGAAACAGATATAAGTGATTTTGCATTGGGAGCAGTGTCATCACAAGTACAATTTAGAAAAGAACGTTATTGCCTACGTTAGTGAGGCAGTTAATTTTGCATATGAAAGTATTGTACATCTCTGAACTAGCTACTAAATGTTAAACAGTGTTAAAATGGGAATCATAGAAATAATAAAGATAACCAACCTGATATGCAACAGAACAGAATCCAAGATGTGACATCCACAGCTAATTGTGAACTGATATGGTCCAACATTCAACTGAAAGATGTTTAGGCAAGAAGATACGAGTCTGAAGCTAATTATTAATTG